GGGGGGGGGGGGGGGGGGGGGGGGGGTGGGGGGGGGGGGGGGAGAGCCAGGGCTGGGGGGTGGGGGACAGCCAAAAATTTTTTTGATTGGGGCAGCAAAAAACCTATAGCCGGCCTGACAGCACCCCCTGCAATTCACAAGTTTTGCCTGAAATGCACAGGGCAGTAACTGGAAGTGGTCCATGTGATATGATGGTATTATTTTGGAGTATCACAGATGACTATATTCCATCATTCCAAAGTCTTTTTGAAAACCCTTTTCTTCATAAACACGGTCTGGCTAAATCATTTCTCTTTTCAAAGTGAAAACCAAGCACTTCATATGAGCAATATTCATAGGTTTAGGCAGAGGAAGGTAGCTCAAAATAATCATGGGTATTTACACGTTAAAAGAAAAACTGTTATACAGTGCTATTATGTGTTGCCTTCCTGGCAAACACCGTGCGGTGAGAATTTGATCACGGTATTGCATTGCAGCTGATTGTAAAGCAAAGCCCTTTTCCCCTCATTGTGAATAACAGCAGTGGAAAATGCTAATGTGTACTGGCACACTGTAGCATGTCAAGTGACAGGTCACATCCAGGGAAGATAGCATCAGTTGTCTTTTCAGCCAATTCTTCTCTAAACTTAGTCCAAATAATGTTACCCATTTTATTTCCAACTAGAAATTCAGTAGCACAAATAGACATGACTGAAGTTATCTAATTTATGTTTTACCGTCTCAGTAGGTGTCCACACATTCATGTATGAATCTCAACACAGTGATTTCAGACTAAGTATCACCCTGACAGAGTTATTCAGAGCGCAGACTATGAAGAGTTCCAGAAATTCTAGTTCTATAATTATACTATGATGCTTTTTCGACTCTCATCAGCAGTAGGCTGTTAGTGTATGTAACTTTGGTCCTGCTCACACATTGTCAAAAGCCAGTGAAACTTCTATGTGGGGGGTATTTAAAACATCAGACAAATATGTCACTCAAGGTACAACAAATATTGTGAGGTAATTTTATTCCCCCCCCTCATTTTTAGGTAAAAATATTACAGTATACAAGATAATCTTATTAAAGGTAAAAATACATTATTTTGATTTTTTTTCTCTAAACAGGTCTACCTACAGTACACGTTTTTCTTTTTGTTTTTATTTTTGTTTTTTTACAAATATAACTATTACTCTACTAGGCTATCTGTGTTCTCATCTGGCACTTAAGAACTGATCACAGGTCACCTTCTGATTCTGCTTATTTTTCTTAGCTGATATCTAAATGTAATGGTCATCTCATAGGTGCACCTTGTAAACAAACAGTACAGTTTAGTGTTTCCAAAGTAATAAGGTGTGCTTTGAGCAGCTTAAAACACCAAATAAATCATGTTCTGAACGTTTCCCTTGTAAGAGTACAACCGGAGGACTTTGTACCACTGCAGCTTGTACATTGGTGTAATTTTTAAAACTTCTCCCTGTTTTTCTTTACTATGGCTGAGCAAATAACTCCTAGCAAATCCTTTTTTGACAAATTCCCCCTTTTTGTTGACGGAATGTCCCCAGCCAGCTTGAGGTGGGTTCCCCCCGCCCCGAATGTATTCATAGTTTGAAACCGTTCAGCAACATTCTTTGTGAATTTCATCGATGCTATGGCTTACCATTTGACATTCAAAATCTGAGCTGCGTTGCCTCATTGTGATTGGTCACAAGTCACATGGTATTGTTATTCTTCCTTGACTGAATGAGTTAACTCTTAAAATGAAGTTTCTAGTATAAATCCTCGTAGGAAGGCAATTTGAGATCACTACATTTTACTGTGTGTTTTCACATTTGCTTTCCATTAACCTCAGTGCTGTTCTAACTCAATTTCATGGGTGTCCATGGAAAGCGAGCACAAAAGGAGTGCACACCTCTAAGTGAAGGTGAATTTGTTTAAAAGTTTTAATGAATATTTGTGGAATATTATTCTGCAGGGTTCACCCAGATCTAAGGCCTAGCTGTAATGGGTCAAATCTCCAGTTGACAGAAATCAGTTTGGCTCCATTGACTTCAATGGAACTATGCTGATTCATGCCAGCTAAGGATTTGGCTGTTTGCTTTTTTTAAAAGGTGCTTTGGGTATCTAATATAAGTATGATTATCTTTTGGAGATGGTGCATTTATTTCTGATGTCAATGGGCTTGTTTTATACCCAAATGTCACCTTTATATCGTAAAGATATTAACCGATTGTTGGCTTCACCCAAAAACATATTCTAATGCACAGGGCCCTCACCAATATTTCTTAGGTGGCAAAAGTTGAGGACTCCATACGCATCTCTTGCACTGTTTTTGCTCCCTTAAAATGCTGGTTGAAATATCAAATAATGTTTAGAAAACTAGTTGTCTCTTTGTTCACCATCAAATGTCCTTATTTAAGTTCTTCCCAAACTTGTCACTCAGCTGCTGTATTAGTTTTGCTAACTCTCCAGTAGCTTCTGACTTTTCTTCTAGAAGCTCGTAGCGGAGACTGGAAATATCTTGCTTAATCTCTTTAAGTTCTCCTACGATGAAAAAAAAAAGTTATTGTAAATGAGACTGAATTAAACAAGTCATCGCCGTGTTTTAATTCCGAAGAATGAGCTCATTTGGGAATGCAAACTATGGGCTTGGCACTAAATGTGTGGGAACCTCCATAGAGTAGCAGTTACACAAAATTCCCCCCACGGACTTAATGAAACAAACTCCATTAATACTGCTAACAGTAGTAATATGTGGAGAGTTCTTGTTCTTTCCAAGCCCATTCCTTCACCACATACAGATTCCCAAGCTACACAGCGGCTTTTTAGGATTCAGAATAATGCTTCAGAGAGACCATTCCCTCGCCAGCATTCCCTTTTCCATATATACTGAGTAGGAAACTACACAGATTCCATCCCTTCCAGCTGCAGAGGGGACAGCTCAGGACAGCGTTTTTAAAGGGGGCTTTCTAAGGCCCATATGAATGTACAGTGTAATGTGCCATTAAGAAGTATGGGTCTGTTGGAAAAAAGGGTGGCCTTGGCTGTATGGTGGAATGGTGCTGTAGGTGCCCTAGGCAAATAAAAGATGTGTTTGTGATGTAAAGTATAGAAAGCTTAGCAGAAATATTGGCAGGATTCTTTCCTCTGCTCTGACCCCTGTACGCCACCATGATGATGTACGGGGTCTAGGAAAGCCTCTTAACCAACTGGGGGAGAATTTGTCTAGTGCAGGCACTGGGTAGGACAGTTGGAAGCTGCCTTACACAGGTCCCTTCACAAGCCCTAGTGTAGGGGGTTAGCCAAGGGCTGAGAGGAAAGAGGAGGTGGGTCCATACACCATGCCACTATGGTGATTCTGGACAACTCCAAGGGTAGGTCTGCTGTAACTTAGAGAAGCTCCCTAGAGAACCTAAATTATAGTGGAGATCATTTCAGCCCACAAAATTGCCAGGCCACAAAGATGGTTTGAACTATGCCCACCAGGGTACGCCTGTGCATGCTGCCTCTCCAGAAGCCGCCCCAGACAGCCTCACCCATCTGATTTATGATTTGACATATCAGTTTGGAACTGAATGGAGATGCCTGATTTCAGCTTTAGTGATTGTAACATCATGAATCGTAAAAGCCACTTGCCTTCATTGACTTCATCATTCTCTCGATCAACCTGAGCCTTCAGGACATATCGCTTAATAAGACGCTTCATTATTTTCTGAAAAGTGAATAAAAATGGTTAAACGGTATGATATTGGTTGTCTGTAATCCTAGATCTATTATGAACAGTTTGAGCTACAGAGTGATGAAATCCTGGCTTCACTGGATCAATCAGAGTTTTGTTATTGATTTCAGTGGAGCCAGGATCTTACCTTTATATTTACGCACTTGGTGTTATAACAGTTGGACAACAAATATTTAATGAGCATCCCACAAGAAAGGCAGATCAAAGAATACTGTGGGACACATCTGAATTTGGTGGATAGCCCATAAACGCAAAGTAACTACAAATGGTTAACTATCAAACTAAGAAGTGGGATCACGTTTAGGTTTTGGGGATGTAGGTTGCTGTTTCAAGTATTCATAAGACAAAATCTGGATGAAAAAATAAGTTGTTTATTAATGACATTATAAAATTCACTCATTACTTTGAACTAAGTGCCTGATCCCAAATTTACTGAAGTCAATGGAAAGACTCCCACTGACTCCTGTGGGTGTTGGATCAGGGGCTAGGAGAACTAGGAAACAGGAAACTCACTGAAGGATAGAGAGTCAGAAAGATGTTGGAAAAAAGGACTAAAATGAACATTACCTTAGAAAAATGGCACGTATTTAATATACACAGCAAAAAAAGAATACCATGTAGCTTTATGAAATGGAAGATTATTGGATAGAAAGAAGTACAGACATATGTAGGAATGAGAGCAGACAACAAATCAGATATGAGCTTGCAATGTGATGCTGTTGCAAAAGTGCTGAAGCTATGTTTATACATAGAGATATAAAAGAAGTCCAGTTTACAGTAGGCTACAACTGGAGTCTTGTGGAGTCTTCTTCAGTATGGGGGGAAAAACATTGATAGACTGGAGTGCTGAAGATAGGCAGCAAACATGACAAAAGGATTAAAGGGACTGACCTCCCAGGGTATGTCCACACTGCAACAAAAACCCCACGGCACCAAGTGTCAGAGCCCAGGTCAATTGACGTGGGCTTGCGGGGCTAAAAATTGCAGGGTAGACATTCAGGGTTGGGCTGGAACTCAGGACATGAGACCCCACAAGAGGGGAGGGTCTCCGAGCTCAGGCTCCAGCCTGAGCCCAATTGCATACAGTGCAATTTTTAGCTCAGGAGCCCAAGCCTTGCGAGCCCGAGTCAGCTTACCTGGGCCAGCCATGGCCATGCCACAGGTCTTTTATTGCAGTGTACATGGACCCCAGGGGACTACCTTTAAGAGTCCAAAGTTAGGCATATCTATTTTTAGACCCCAAAATAGCTCATTTGGGTGCCCAAGTGCATGATTAATCTACATTTGAGTGTGTAAAACTGATATGGAAGTGTATGCATTCTTGCTTGGGAGGAATTTCCTCATGCAAAGTGGAGTAATGGAAGCTTATCAGGCCCCCTTGCAGGGTTCCCCCTTCTGCTCCACCAGGGGGCTGAAGTTCCCCACCATGAGGCAGCATCCAAATGGCATGATTGAGCCCAAAATGTTTTGTTTCTTGGGGGGAATTTCAACCCAACGATCAATGCAGGTGGTGCTCAATCTGCAAGGAGGCTACATCCCTTTGGGATTTGTCTCTGATGATGATGTAACTCCAACCAGGATTTTTGGATCTTTTCCTGTCTAACTGAGGGATATTCTCCGTCTGCCTTCAAGAAGAGCTGCATTGACATCCCTTTTTCGAGCACGCAGACACTAGAAAGGGAAAAGACCATCTGCGTCTACCTTCATCTTAAATTACCACAGCCCCTGCTCCTGGGAGTCGCTTCATTGATTCATCACAGGAGGCAAAGACATCTCTTATTTACTGAGTTCACTTTGTTTGACCCTTAGATTTATAATCTTATAAACAGCCACACAGCTGAAAAGACTTTAAGGGGGGTTACTGTGCCTGGACAATGATGTTGAGCATTAGTCACTGTGGGGCACAGCCCGTGCCCGATGCCTGACCTCAGTCACTGGGCTGATCACTGGGCAGATGCACAAGGACCAGGGAAGAGGACTCTGACACCTCAGGATACAGTCCACCTTCTGTTGCCCTTCTTCATAGGGACAAGAAAGGAGAATCCAGACAATGGCAGATACTCTAGACCAACTATCCCCACCTCCCTTGGACTGCTCATGTTCTGTCCTCTCCTGCCCCTGCCTGCTGCCATGCAAGGAGCCGCTCCCAAGCTGAATTTTCTGTCTGCACCATCTCAGCATGCATGCATACACAGCCCTCTCCTTTGGTGCAGCAGAACCACACTCGTTCGGGTGCCTGGGGAGCCTCCATACCCTTAAAGGCAGGAACTGGACTTGCCTTCCGGATCTTGCTCCTGCTCCCACAGAAAATCTAGGATAGGGCTAAGAAAGCTCTCACGGTCTTCACTCTACTTACAGTACTATGAATGACTGAGGCATGTTACCTGGCTTCTGTGTAATGATGCGAATGGCTACTCCCATTGGGACTGAAAGGCATTCATTTTACGGTGGTCTGTTTGAGCAGTTTTGTCATTTTTGGATAAAAAATGGTGGGGGACAACAGCAACTTAACATCTATCTGCCTAAGGCACTCAAATGTCCCCCCATCTTAGTATCTGAGCATCTCGCAATTGTTAAAATATACTGGTCCTCACATCATCCCTGACTGGCAGAGAAATTCTATCATCCCCATTTTATGAATGGGTAACTGAGACACAGGGAATAAGAAATTTGCCTAACCTCACAGAAGTAGTCTGTAACAGAGCAGGGAACTTGACCCAAGTCTCCCAAGACCCTAGCTAGCGCGCTAATCACAGGAGCATCCTACCCATAAAACCTAGATTCAGGCCCATCTGCCCACTGAACAAGAAGAAATTCTGTTGCTTTAAATGTCACTGGCAATCTCCCCAAAGGTTTTGAGGCACAAAAACCCCTAAACCAAAGCAAAACCAAAACCACCCCACCCCTTCTTCCTGATCATTAAGTAACTAGATGTGAACTGTAGCAATATAAAGGCAGGTGAATGACAAAAAAGAATCCAGTTACTTGTATATGTGTTATCTAGTGATGGAATGTGGAATGTTTAGGACTGTGTCTTTCTATAGACGAGATCTCTCTCTAACCAGGTGGGTCAGTTAAGGGAATACATATGAGACACAGTGCACATACTGTATGCTGGAGATGGCCAAGGTAGTTCAATCCAGATGGAAGACGTGTTGCCACCTGAGAAAACATAAATTGAGGAACATTCTGGGGAAAGTGGGGAAATACTAGATCCCAACAGAAACAATTTTCAAAATAGGAGACAAAAATAGGGAACTTGCAGGAAAACAAGGAATCAACATATAACGAATGCCATTATCTTCTTGACATTTACCATCACAGAGTATTTACCTGGGCCAGCCACAGTATTTGCAGTACAGTCTATATTTACAATGAGTAGTACTCTACATGCCATGTAGCTACAGGTGGCAATGGTCAAGATCTTCATGGTGCCAACTATACCAGAGAATATACCGTTGTAAGGATACTGAACAGAAGTAATGCAAATGTAACAATTCTTTATCAAGAATCTGAGGGGTGGATATCACTTTGCAGCCTTTGGAGACATTCCTTGCAATATCTCCAGCAATGCTACTGTGTATTTTTGCCTTAATATTGTATTGTGGCTTTGCATCTCTATTGGCATCTACCACCCCTTCTGGGTTCTTTGCTACTGTAAGTGAAATGGCTTCTCAACCACATAGTTACTGGTCAAGAAAGTCATCATAATTTTCAACCCTCCAGACCTTGCTCACCCAAACAGTTCCATTGATTTCAATGGTGTGATACTCATCTAAGAAAGAGTTTCAGGAGCAGACCTTAATTAGTAAGTTATTGCCTTCTAGGCAGAAATCAATCTTCTTTATGTATTTATTGGCCCTACCTTCAAATACTCTTTGTTCCTTCAGTTTTTCAAGTACCTTCTATAGACTTTATCTTGCTGGGTCAAAGGAGACTGAAAAATGGTCTTGTGGTTAAGACACTGGAATGGGACTCAGGAGATCTGGGGTCAATTTCTGGCTCTGTCACAGAGGGCCATATTTTAAAAGGTTTTTAGGTGCCTAAAGATGTAGATAGATACCTAATGGGATGTTCAACTCCAGGGGAGTTAGGCACTTAGTTGCTTTTGAACATCATATTAGGCATCTGTCTACATCTTTAGGCCCTGAATACCTTTAAAAACTTTTGAAAATGTTACCCAATATCTAATATTTATTACACATATTTATACCTTTTTATCCCAATAACCAATTCCTTTCCTTAACCCTGTTAACAATTTACAAATACTTGATATGTGTAGATGTTAACCATGTACCTGTTTAGTTGGAGATTTTGCTACTACATACATAACCCACTGTTTCCACATAAAATAAGTCTACCAGAAGCATAAATTCTCAGGATGGGAACTTGGTGAATAATTGATTTTTTGGTTTGGTGTCTAAACTGAAAAATTCTAAAGAAAAGAAATAAAATTGTTTTGAGTCAAACCAAAATGACAATTTTTCAGTTTTCTCACCAAAACAAAAACTGACAAAGAAATTGTTTCAGGGTGAATAAAACATTTCATTTGCCCCAAAATGAAAGGTTTAGTTTCATTTTGAGTGTTTTTTAAAACCCTTTTTTGATTTTTTTTTAGTGAAATCTAGATAAATTTCAAAACTAATTGCAATTTTGAAATGAAAAGTCAAAGTGTTTCATTTAATAAATGTCACGTTGAAACATTTCAACTTTTTTGAAAGCTTTTTTCCAAATTTCTAGTGGCCATATTCACCCTAAATTCTCTAACAGTTTTTGGTTGACCCAAAACTGCATTTTTTGGCAAATAAGTCATTTGTAAAAAATATTTCACCCAGTTCTACTCAGAACTTTACAACAATGGTAATTTCACAGTGTGGGGAGAGTAAGCTGCGTCATCACGGCTCTCATAATTATTTTTGTAACATATCACATTGCACATCCAGCTAAATAGGACAAAATATTGCCAAAGAAAGCACACGAGGGAGTTAAAGTAAAGTCTAGAGAGACAACATTGTGTCATGACAAAATGAAACACTGTCAATGAGTCTAGATCTAGGATGAAGCTCGGGTGAACTTTTCTTGTAAGTTCAATACCAGTGACTGGCAATTAATTACCATGACAATCACGTTAATGTCAAATGTATTTCTGTAGCTGCCATGCTGCCGTAAGCAACTGTGAAACTAAAAGGACTGGGCTCAGTCCCATAAACTACTGTGTCCTTTGATTTGGCATAGGTCATTGCTTGACACATCACAGGATGGAGGAGTCCATTGTATATTGACAAATCTGAGCCTTGCAACCTTGTTTGCTTACAGATCTTTTCCCTTGCTCTTGATGTTCTACTGTCATTACCTGATATCTCGCGGGCTTGTTATAAGCCTTCTTCACAGTAAAATTTTCTGAATTTCGAGCGCTTGACTGAAAACGAACTTTCTGAAATTATAAAACATAATGAAACATTAAATCTGTAACAGCTTCTTTCCCCAAACAACCTCTCTGCCTCAGACTAAACAGTCTTATGCAAACATTAGAAAATGTTGCATTCTGTGAGCAGGTTGGAGATCCTGCAGAAGAAAACCAGCACTTCCATTCCCCAATTGATAATATAATTAATATCTAGCTCGTTCATAGCACTTTTCATCAGAAGATCTCAAAGTGCTTCACAGAGGAGACAAGTAGGTCATCCCCATTTCACAGACAGGAAAACAGAGGCACAGAAAGGTGAAGTGACTTGCCCAAGGCCGTTCAGCAGCCCAGGGGGAGAGAGAGAAATTGAACGCAGATCTCCTGATACCTAGTCCAGTGCTCTATCTTCTAGGCTACATTGCCTCTGCCAGTTTATAGGAGGGTGCAGAGGGAGACAACCCGCTCATTTCTTTGCCAAAACGAACGGAAGAATTATTGGATGAGAAATTCAATCTCATATTGTCTAAACAAAAGGTGTTTTAACTGTATCCCTCTCACACCTCTTTGAGACAGGCAGGTGTTAAGAGGCGAGAGGCAGTGCTTTCTTAATTACTTCTAGGGTTACCATACATCCGGATTTTCCCTGACATGTCCGGCTTTTTGGGCCTCAAATCCCCGTCCGGGGGGAAATCCCAAAAAGCCGAACATGTCCGGGAAAATAGGGAGGGGCCGGAGCCGCTGGGTGCTGGGCCGGGGCCGGCGGTACTGGGCCGGGGGTGCTCGGCCGGGGGCTGGCCCAGGGCCAGCACCCCAGGGCCCGAGCCGAGCCAGGCTGGAGACGCCGGGGCCAGCTGCTGGAGGGAGCCACTCGGTTGGGGGGGCCAGACTGGGCTGCGCCTCCTCCCCCCCCCCAGCTTAACCGCTGGCCG